GTTGGATTACTAGTATTATTATTAGTGGGACGCAAACGCAAAATATTCTGGATAGACCCTTTTTGAAAGCCTGGTCTGGTAGAAACTGTCGATCGACATCGACTAATCCATTCTACTATCGATCGATTTCATCGCTCAACGATCGACCGATTGGTAAAATGGTAACCCTTAGACGTGTGTTGCCGGTTTTTGGGGGAAAATTATTAAGGGATTGGGCCTTCGGTAACGTAACTTACTCGGTGAACAACGTAAGTGTTGTTTTACACTCTTATAAACGTTCTTATAGGTCCTCCATCGCCGAGAGCATTCGCGTGTAATGTAACATTACAGATCTGAGTGCCAAGCACGAATAACTATGGGATTTGTAACGTAATATTTAGTATCGAGAGCGTTCGGCGCTCTGATTGGGCGCCTCAAGTGAACCAACCAATCAGAACGCATAACTCGCTCGATACTGTTACGATACGAAGCGATAGTTATTCGTGCTTGGCACCCTGAGCATTACATCAGTGAAGGAGGAGAACCGAGCATTATAATGCGCACCTTGTAATGTGTAATATCTTCATACAACTTGTAACATCAATGCCCCCCGCCCGCCCGCTTCGTCTGACATCTTGCTATGAAATGCTCAAAGTCGAATCAATATGTTTCATTACATGCAAATGCTCGTTAGTCAGGGAGGTATTATTGTAATGTAATGCTCAAAGTCGAACTGAAATGTTACATGATACTTGAACGCTCCAGGTGAGGGAGCACCTTTAAAATAAAAACTCGTGCATGGTTTCAACTGACATCCTTGCAAAATGGCATGAAATTCTTAGATAAGTTCTTATGTTTAATTATCAGGTTATTACCATAATTGAGTACTTCTCCGCCATCAAGCGAGCACTTTTTTGGTTTGTTGGTACCAGCCAAGCGTTCAAGGAACCTTTTGGTGCCATCGACGCACGTAACGGCAAACTCTCCGTAAGTCATGTTCTCCTGGTACAATATAGCTATAAGGTCATCGAACCATGGCGCGTTTATCGTCAGCCAATCGCGTACTTCTGGTGAACCTCTGTAGAATTAAAACAGTTTAATCTAAAGGTACTTTTATACTAATATTATAAAGTTGATTAAGGGGTCTCGGGTTCGTTCCCGGGTCGGGCAAAGTAGATATTACTGGTTTTTTTTAAGAACCTCAGTAGTAGCACGGAGTCTGGAATTGTGCCCGGTATATGGCAATAGGCTCACCCCCTATTACATGAGACTCGTAACTTAAATAGTGAAAAGTGGGTGTTACATTGTATGGTGGCATAATGTGCACCTCTGCCTACCTCTTCGGGGGTAAAAGGCGTGATGTTGTTATGTATTATGAAGTTCAAGCATTTGTTAATCTGCGGAACTACTAGTTTGAATTTAATAATTATTTTTGTTGGATAATCCATTTATCTAGGAAAGGTTTAAGACAACAACCCTACGATGAATAGGAGCCGAGCGGCACATAAAAACACGCGGGAGTGACAAGATACTTTTATCTATGTAGGTATGTTTTTAAACGCACCCCCGACGCAGGCGAAAATCCTAGTGCGGGGCAACGTTTCCTTATAAAAAAATCTAGTGTTAATGTTATACTATCACGCCTTCCAATCCTTCAAGAAAAAGGTAGAGATGTGCATAATATTATAATGTAATAATCCACTTTACATCAGTCATGTTGTGAGTCCCATGTAATGATGAGTCTACAGCCATAACCAGGCACAGTTTTTCTAAGATGTAATAGGGGGTGAACCTATTGCCATTTACCGGGCACAATCCCAGACTCCGTGCTACTACTGAGAGACCCCTTGCCCGGCAGTCGCACTTGCGACCACTCGGCCCTTTGGCCAAGGCAGTTGTTCTTTTATTTACTTTGTTTAATATTCAGATCCATACTGTAGTATTTACCTATAGTTTAGTGTAAAGGGTATAAAAACAGGCGAAGGAGGAGCTTACATTGTTAATAAATATACCTCTGCTAAAATTTTTATAACCTCAGGTAACTTACTTAGCATATACCACGAAGCCACCAGCAAGGAACAATAAAGCTATAGTGCCCCAAAACAAACTGTCATCTTTAGGCGGAGGTGGCGGTGGTGGGGGAGGCACTGGACACGTCTCTCTCTCTTTGAAACTCTGATTATACTTGTACTTTGTAGGGAAGCGGGTTATAGTCGCCACTCGAAAGTCTACTGGATAACGACGGTACTGGAAAAATATATTTTACTTTATTTAAGGCTAGACTACTACTAAAACTTTAAAGTGTGGAAGAGTCATGCTTAGGCACGAATGAGCCGACTCGACCGGAGTGATACCACGGCGTCACAGAAAACCGACGTGAAACAATGCTTGTGTTGTGTTTCGTCGTATCAGTGAGGTTACCAGAGGCTCAACTATCCCCTCCTCACTCTGCCAAATCCCTGAAACCCCGACAATCCTCAAATTTCTTATCCTCAAAAGGCCGGTAACGCACTTGTAACGTCTTTGGTGTTCCAGGTGTCCATGGGTGACGCAGATTGTTTACCATCAGGTGATTCGTATGCTTGTTTACCGGTTTATGCCATAAAAAAAATATAAGACTAGTGACTAAACATATATACGTCCTTGGCTACAAGTCTTGCAATTGCTTCTAGAAAGAGATCTCATATGTTACTATACTCGTATGTTACTATCTCGTATGTCTCGTAAGTCGTATGTTACAGCCTATTACTGCACCAAAAGCCTACTCTACTGGTTTGCCATAATTTCCACACTTGGTAGTCTAAAGTTTCATGTTTAACGAAGACCGCTACCAGACAGTGTTTTTTTTATGGGACAAGCCCGCCACAACCTCCAAAAACCGGCGCAACTCCTGTAAGCCAGGATCTACAGTAGATACAACCATGAAAACACCGGAACACTGAAGTCCGGTGCGTCCCAGGGACATGAATAACTGTCTTGGTTCCCGCAACGAAGTGAATCCGAAGATATTATAAGAGGAGAAGAAAAAACGATAGTTTCCACTTCCCTCTGTAAATTACTGCAGGAGACAGTGCTTGTTCACGTTAAACCCGCGGGCGCGGGCGCGGTTGACCTCGCGAGTTTTTGCTCACGTTGACCGTCAGGCGTTTGCGCGGGCCGTAAGTTCAAACCGTTCAAATTTACCTGTCAGCCCGATTGAATTGCGCGCTCTATATCTATCTAGTTCGACGTGAACACACCTATACGTCTTTATGTATATCATCTAAGTTTCTCGCTACATACACCGCAACAGAGTACTGTACGTAAACACTTGCATGTCGTATCATAAATATTAGATATTTCGCTCATGAATTAGCGTGTACGAGAACATTCAAAACTACTGGACAGCCAGTACCTATCTACCATAATAATATCCAATGTGTTTTGTTTCGCCTTTTAGGTACTAAAAATATATTCTACTCTGTCTACCGTGTCGCCAGATATTTTTTATTTAACACAAAAGACAACGAGCTAAATTACTACCTGAATGGACCTGGGCTTGTATTAATCTTATCCGTTCTTGATTATAATAATTTATGCACTTTAACAAAGCAACCACAAAAAATGTTGTAAAAAAATATGTACTTACAAAAAGTGTCCTAGCAACTGTTAAGCAGGACGTGACTCTAAACATTATTTTCTATGCAGGTATTGTATTGTTTGGTGTCGAAAGAAATTTTTAATTTGTATCCTTTGAAGTTACTATATTTCAATTTCTTTGGACAGTTCATATTCTGACTATGAAGTTTATGCTGTTATACTTTTTTTAGTTTTTAGCGCCGCGTATTGGTTACCAGTTTATTTGTGTATGAAACCTCGTTTTTATTTAAAAACCCAGCATAGATTGCTCTATCAGACAACCACAGATAGGTCCCAGTAGGGCCGAAGAGTCGCGGAGAACTTCACGGATTGCCGGGGCTCCGGTTCAAAGAGCAGGCGTAGGAACGGAGGGGTTTTTAGTAAGAGCCTGACATTCCCTCTCGCCTCACCCAAGGCAGGAAAAGTCTGGGCTCGCTGCCATCGCAGCGGTAAGTCTCCTCTTTGAGGAGTGGCTTGAGAGACGCTACGGCGTCCTCACCTACCGCCTGACGCAGGTCCTCACCGGACATGGGAGTTTCGGGAGGTACTTGTGTCTGATGGGGCGGGAGGAAACGCCCGGGTGTCATCACTGCGAGGACCGCCCTGAAGACACGGTGGAACACACTGTAGCGGAATGCCCTGCGTGAGCTGAGCACCGCCGTGCCCACAGGGAAGTGATCTGCGATGGCGACCTCTCGCGTCCGGGCCTAGTGCAGGCCATGATGCGGAGCGAGGTGGACAGGGATGCCGTCTCCTCCTTTTGTGAAGCAGTCATGCTAGCTAAGGAGGAGGCGGGACGCGTGAGGCAGCGAAGCGCTGCCTCCTCGCAACCCAGCCATCGCGAATGACACACCGGGCGTCGGGGATCGTGGGACGATCTCCGTCCGACCAGAAACAGACCCGAGCGTACGGCGCACCGCGTTCCGCGCGCGCCTCAAAGAGCCATCAGACCACCACAGATGGGGCCCAATACGGCCGATGCCGATTCGGAGTCGCGGAGAACCTAACGGGTAACCGGGGCTCCGACTCGACGTGCAGGAGAAGGAACGGGGTGGTTTTTCAGTAAGAGTCTGACACTCCCTCCCGCCTCACCCAGGCGAGAGCAGTCATTCGATGATTTTCCCCCTTAAAAAAAAAGGCAGGAAAAGTCATCAGATGATTTTCAATGTTTTCAATAGGGACAGAGAGTAATTTATGACCATTATACCATTGCAAAAATATGATGTGAAATAAACGAAACAAAAAGTGGATAGCGATAATGCAGCGGCAACATGATGTTCCTGCTTACCTACCCCCATGGGACAAAGGCTTGAGTTTATTTGTGTATTACATATTTATATATACATATTTTAACAAAAAGGTCAAATAACGTACGGAAATAAAAATGCAAAGAAAAAACGAACTGACATAAAAATCATCTTTTAATTTATTACATACAATATTTTTATATTTACATAAATTACTAAAATTAAAGGAAACCTCCACACGTTTCATCGCTGGCACCATAATTTGCGGAAACTAAACATTTTGATATTTTTTCAAATAAATGCAGACACATATGTGCAGAGAAAAAAAAATACAAAATTTCCACTGTTTTGAACAAACTTTACATTTAAGAACCTTAATATTGTTCACCTGAATAATGAGTTTACATGTTTCACCTACTGTCATCAACACAGGTACAAATGATCTACAACCGGTTGATGAATAAAACAATAATGTCAAAAATAACGTATTTTCTCAAGTACTAAGGCAAAACTTTATGATAATGTATTGTAAACAGTCAAAATAAGGGGACAACTGAACCAAATTAACAACTTTACTTGATCAAGAACTGCGCCAGGCATTATGATACCGACTTTTTTACCTATAAATCTACATGGTATGCTGATAGTAAATTACATTGCACAGTGCACTCTAAAAGCACTATGATAAAGTATAAATTTCTAGTACTTTTGTAGCCTTTAGCACTTATGAAGATAGACATGTGCCTAAGATGTTTAAAGTCGCCTACGGTTGCTAACTTCCAATACTGATTGCATGTGAATTTTGTTCACTTATTTCTTTTAATTGTCATTAAATGAACAAACTATCGGGAGTAACCTTTGTTAACCAAAACTACTACTACAAATTATATTATCCTATCTTATGCTGATGAAATTGACATTAGTATTATCTAGTATCAATTCAAATGATGTAAAACCTCTTCACGAGGTTTAGGTATATTTAAGAATTAGTATTTTTAACAGAATTGTGTTTCTTAGTTTTATTTTTTTTTTCTTCTTTGGCAACCGAGTCTCCAAAACGAAGTTGTCGACTATACAGCCAGTGTCGTGGTGTATGTATGTTTGTGTACAACTATATCGCTATTGGTTCATTGGAATTTGATGCGGTTTCCAGAAAATTGTTAGATATAGGACAAGGTTTTAGTATATTAATTAACCAACATCAAAAAGGTAAAAGTTGATTTTTTTAACGTAGTTTAGTAGTAGTCTATAAAATAATTATTTACTGTAAATTTATGGCCAATTCGAAATCGCCGATCAGCCTTGAGCAAGCGTGGTGACTAATGCTCAAAACTTCTCCGTGTGGGAAGGGATCTTTTGAGCACTTAAGCTTGACGATGATGATTTAAAAGTATGTTTTTAGTTGATTACTAGGTAGTACCCGAGAGTTAGGGAACAAAATTCACGTGCTTCGTGTATTGTTTATAGGTATAGTAGCCCTGAGACGGAGGCGTGCGCCATGACGGCTTCTGCGGCCTGTCGTATCTCGAGGTGCGCGCGCGCGGCGTCGAGCCAGGGCTTGGCGGCGGCGCGCGGCGCGCCCTGCAGCAGGTTCACGTAGCGCAGCGCCGCCGGCAGGTTGCCGTGGTCCATGTGGTACCTGCGGGGAATTCATTTATTTACTCTGTTTTAAGTGTGGGAGCCATGCTTCGGCACGAATGGCCCAACTCCACCGGATTGATTCCACTGCCTCACAAATAAACTAAAGTAAACAACATTTGCGTTATGTTTCGCTGTATAAGTGGGATTACTGGATCAAATCCCCAATTTCCAATCCACTATCTTCAATCTTCGAATCACCTATCCCGAAAGGTATCCTCCAACACCTCGGGTGCAACACCAGCAGCTGCAGCCAAACGCCATTTAGAGCTTTTCTACGTGTAGAATATAAAACCAAATTATATCGAATTGACGTAAATTTTGACACTTGTCAATGTCATCCCCATACATTTAGTTTTCTACTCTTTCGGTAGACAAGCGCTAAAGTGGCGTTTGGCTAAAGGCACACACTTGGAGGATACCTTTGATTAATATGGGCGTGTGGATGTCATATGGGCGACGTTAATTGCTTATCATCAAATTTTAAGTAATCCGTGTACCGTTTTGTCGGCCTATTCCATATAAATTATGTATGGTGTATAAGAAATTACCTCGCCCGATGTATGATGTCGAAGGTGTCTAACTTAGTGAAGTCCGTGGGCTGGTTCTCCAACTCTTCCTGGGGGATCTCAGCGAACTAAAAAAGGAATTACATTAATAGGTGAATTAAATAAATCTCCTTACCGATTTCGATCATGGTATCATGTCTAACTAGACTAGCCCACTACGCAGAAGACATTATGTAGCTGGTAACTTTAAGTTCAAGGCCCGAGTGAATAGGTTGCTTATGGGACGACGTGCTCCATCGTAGGTCGCATCATCGCTTACCACTAGGCGAGGTTATGGGCAAACGTCGCCCCATCAAATATAAAAGACAACAAGAGCACTCTCTGTTCCCGACGGGACAGTACACCGACCGGAGAGGAGTCATCTGCAGGACCAACGGCGTACGAGGACGTTATCAAGTATACGATTATATAAATCTGAAGAGCGTTCGTCTGTTTGTTTGTTTAAATGCGCTAATCTCTAGATGTACTGGTCCTTTTTGATAAAATCTTGTTCTGTTGGATAGTGCATTTACCGAGGAAGGCTGTAGACTATAAAACATCATGCTACGACCAATAGGAGCCGAGCAGCAGGCGAAACCACGAGTTAGTTACTATATAAACTTACTTGCTTGAAGAGCAACAGTGATTGCACCCAGGACAGGAAGTAGACGGGCAGACTGGCTCCCTCGCGTCCAACTAGAGCCACTTTCATTGCCGTCTTCTCCAGCTGAAACGAAATCATTATTATTTTACTCATTATCCGATATCGCAATAAATTGGACAAACTAGTCAGAACACTATCTACATACACTACGGCATTAGGCAGGTGTACACGTATTACGGCATTGCCACTATACAATGTAGCACCCACTTTTAACTGCAGGCAGAAGCAAGTATTAATAAAAAGTTGAATACCGTTTCAAACCTGTCCCGTAACGACTTCTCGGTAGCGATTCCCTTTTCGCGAACATCTGCGGGAATGCCCTTAAGTACTGACTCCACCAGCTTGTCGTCCTTGCCTGGAAAAAATTATTATCGATTGTCAAAGAAGAATTATAAGTGTGGGAGAGCCATGCTTCGGCATGAATGGGCCGACTCGACCGGAGTGATACTACGGCCTCACAGAAGACGTGAAGCAATGCTTGCGTTGTGTTTCGTCGTGTCGAGTCAGGTTACCGGAGGCCCAATTACCCTCCCCTTCCCCAATCTCCGCGGTAAGTGTCCATGGGCGACGCCAATTGCTTACCATCAGGTGCTCCGTCTGCTCGTTTACCGGCTCATGCCATAAAAAAAGTTCGTTTGAATCTTATGGTCAGTGAAAATAAATTATTTGAATTTTTCAGTAAATACATAAAAAGCCTTGAAAATATTTGATTGATTGAATTGACAATGTATTATTCTTTTACCCTCTAAAATAAGTCTTTTATAAACAACGTTTAAAACAACCGACACCAACCCCTTTTTTAAGTCGGTTAATTGACATACACCTTCCATAACCCATAGTGTAACACTTTTCTTAAAACCGCACCAAAATCGGTTCAACCAATCTTGAGATAATAGCACATACCTACATACGAAGAGGTCAAACGAACCTCCTTCGTTTTAAGTTTGTTAAAAAGCAAAGGGGGGAAAATCATCAAATGGATGGTCCCGCCTGGGTGAGGTGGGAGGGAGTGTCAGACTCTTACTGACTAAAAACCACCCCGTTCCTTCTCCTGCACGTCGAGCCGGAGCCCCGGTTACCCGTTAGGTTCTCCGCGAATAATACAATGTATAGGTACGCACCAGCCTTGGCGAGCGCGGAGAGTTCGTTGTCGACCTTGGCCTGCGCGGCGGGGCGGCGCGTGGCGGCCAGCAGCGCCTCGGCGGCCGCCCACAGCGACTGCGAGCGACGCGCCTCCGCCTCCGCCGCCGCGCGCTCTGCCGCACCAAACAATCACATCAATTGGGTACTTTCCTTAAACTGTCAAACACCGAGCGGGCACCGGTGACCGCAACCTATTGTTCTATAATTGTGTCTATAATGACGGTACTTGACGAGTTATTCGAAAATAAACTATTTCCACTGTTCAATACAATAACATAACATAAAATCACGCCTTTTTATCCCCGAAGGGTAGGCAAAAGTGCACATTTCGGCACTTAATGCCACTGTACAATGTAATACCCACTTTTCACTATTTATGTTATGAGTCCCATCTAATAGGGGGTGAGCCTATTGCCATATACCAGGCACATTTCCAGAATCCGTGCTACTACTGAGTTTTTTTTTAAAAACCCAGTAATACTTTGCCCGACTCGGGAATCGAACCAGACACCCCTTGCCGATTCGCACTTGCAACCACTCAGCCAACGAGGCAAAAAATTTTTATAAAATAATCACATTTTCATGAATTGATTTTACGACCAACTTAATTTTAGTTGTTAGTTTACTTGTTGTTTTTTTAAGATCGTTGCCCCATACTAGGATTGTCTCCTGTGTCGTGGGTGCGTTTACAAATTTACAATATCACATAGACCTGACACCCGGACACAGAACAACAATCTGTGGATCAAGCAGTTGTTCCAAGCGGGAATCGAACCCGCGATACGTTGCGCGGTAGCCAGTTGCCTAGCCATCGCGCCAACCGTGCAGTCTCTTGTTCAATGTTCATTGTTCATTCAATTTTGATCGATTGGTAGTTTTAATTAATCGGCGGATTCCGATGGATTATAATATAACCAATCGATCGATTGCCGGTCGATGGCATCAGTGGACGTTGATCGGACGGGCAGTGGGCAGTGGGTGATAATAGGAGTTCAACACCCTTATAAATTACACATAGACATTGCATAATACATACGTTTCAAGGTCTGTTCAATGGCTTTCAGCTTGCCTGCCATGGCGGCTAGTTCCTTCTTGAACTCCACTCGCTCGGCCTCGACTTGCTCAGACACCGCGCGGTTGAAGTTAGCCATCATCTATAAACACGAACAATTTCATGTAAAAATATGTTTTACAACTAAAATCATATTTTTTTATTCGTGAGACACTAACTCGACTAGCTTTAGGCCATACTGGATCTCCAAATCTCAAACAATCCTTAAATTCCTAATCCCCAAAAGGCCGGCACGCACGTGTAACGCCTCCGGTGTTCCAGGTGTCCATGGGCGACGCTGATTGCTTACCATCAGGTCATCCGTCTGCTCGCTTACCGGCCTATCTCATAAAAAACTCATAGTCAACTCTTAAAACTAATCGTACATGATTTGTCCAATAAAACTAAAACGTAATTAACCCTGAACAGTGAAAACGTGTATCGACGAGTATGCATGAAGAGATTAATGAATGTATCAATGTAGCTGTAGACGAAGCGAAAGCGGAACGCTGGAATCGTGGCGTCTGGCGTTTTATTGTCTCTGCCAACTCCAATGGAAGACAGGTGTGATGGGTATACACACATAATACATAACCTCAAATCTGGCTCCCACGCCAATTGATACGATTCTCACATACCTGTATGGCTTCCTCAACAGACATCAGTCTTTTCATGTCTTTTCAATCAGCGCTGCGACGCTATCCTCTTGAGGTTTAAGTCGCAGAAATTGCTGAGCATATCCTGTTTTTGCGCACGCATACATGACGCACAATATTGGGGCAATGGGTTACACTAGCATCAAGTACTTATAATGGCTTCGTATTGTTTTATTATAATTAAACTATTTTTAATACTCCTTTATCCAATTTTATGAAATGCATGCAACTAGATAATAATAGATATGAAGTAAGTAGTGTGTTCCTTGTCTATGGTCCACAGATAATAATAATATTAGATATTAAATATACTATGATTTCAGTAAAATAATAAGTCTGTGGACCATGGACAACATTTCACTTCATTTTAATTTATTAGCTTTTTTTTATTTTATTATTATTTATTTTTAATTATGTTATGTGTGTTTTGCGAAAAAATAAATGGTTTTTCTTTCTTTCTTTCATGCATACTCGTCGGTTAAGGGTACTTTTAATTTGGCACCATGACCCTGTATGGAAGTACAGTGGTAGAAAAATGAAGAATATTTATAATACCTCTTTCTCCTTCTTAGCAATTCTGTCATGCATAACTTCTTGTTGGATCTCCAGCTGTTTCTTAAGAGCTTCCTTTGTCTGCCTGTTCGCTTCCGCTTGGATCAACATGCTCTGTACGCAGATATTTACATTACTCACAAATTAATACTAATTATACAAAATTTGTACTTTTTAACATACAGGGTGACTTATAATACAACTAATTTCCTACAAAATTAGCCCTGAGGTGTATGGTCCGAAAGTGGCTAGTTTCTGAGATATTCAACATTTTCAGTTTTGGTGAAAAAATCCCGATCGAACTACAAAAACATCAATAAATAAAAAACTACTGGTTTGATTGAAGTGATTTTAGTTTTAATTTGTTGTCAATACATCAATAAATATTTATTAAGACTTTGACGACTGCCAATAAAAAACTGTTGCAGGTAAATCCTCCGGTAACGCCGGTCACCGGTGACTCCCATGGCGTTTAACGTGTTAATACTAATACTGGCAGATATATGATTCGTTTTAAAATAGCAATTTCAGTGTTGCAACGTTATGACAAGTACTAAATAGTGACGTTGCGAAATTATTCGATATGGAAATGCAATATTTCTGGATCGATTCTTCTCGTTTATAATTTCATTCTCGTAAACTAAGGATATCAGGAAATTAAATATTATTTCTGACCGATAATTTTGTTTTGACGATTACTTAACGATCTTAAACTTTTCTTTTATAATTGTGTGTGAAATAACTAAAAAAATGTAATCATGAAGGAACATGACAAATAAAATAGACAGATGTATTATGGTAATAAGTTATTTTATAAATTGTCACCGTCATCGCTATCGCTGTCCTGTCACTTTTTGTAACATTTATTATAAAACACACACACTGATTGTTTATCGATTTTTGTGTTCATCACTACGCTATTATATGTGGTATCATTATTTCACAAAATGACAGTAGCTATTGTCAAATCTGGAATCTAATTAAAATTCTGACTATAGTATCGAATTTTGTTTTGACACAGAATATTTAAATTAGAGTACACATACCTTCTTCATAAATTCAGTTTCTCTGACCATCCTCTCTGCCATAATGATGTCTTCGGCTTTAGCCTCAATGATTGCTTTCTCGTCATGACCTGTAAGTAATTACGTGATTGAAGAAAATATTCGGTTATTTTAGTTTACAAATTGCATGCATACGTCCGAATACTGTATGGCTCAATTTAAAGTTGTACTTAAATATTGTGAGATGTCATTTTACAAAGAATTTGTAGTAACATAACATCACGCCTTTTATCCCCGAAGGTTGGTCGGTAATTTCGTACTCTTAAGTTACAACAACACTAGCGACACTTGAAACCGTATTGTATGAATATTTAATGAACTAAATGGTATTGAGTTTGGCTTTATATTCCATACTCTGAATGCTATTTTAACAGCAACGATTGAGGTTGT